GAGGCCATCGCTAGTAGGTTGGAGCACAAGGCCATCGCCATCGCTAGTAGGTTGGAGGCCATCGCTAGGTTGGAGGCCATCGCTGTAGGTTGGAGCACAAGGCCATCGCTAGGTTGGAGGCCATCGCTATTAGGGTGGAGGCCATCCTCCCAGGTGGGAAGCTGTTCCTATTAGGTTGGAGGCCATCCCTATTTGGTTGGAGGCCCTCGCTATTAGGGTGGAGGCCATCGGTACTACGTTGGAGGCCATCGCTATTATTAGGTTGGAGGCCATCGCTATTAGGGTGGAGGCCATCGTTGTTACCTAGCTCGGAGAAGATTTGTCTAAACGTTGTGCCTAAGGACATTTAACTTAACATTAAAACACCGTGCGATTTGATCGATCACGGAAGTTAGCTGCCAGGCGTCTGGAGTGCCAGCCTCCTATGCGGAGCAGTTCGCCGGTGTTTTGCCGGACGACTTCTCATGGGAGGAGAAGCGATGCAAAATGGCGGAAACGTTCAAAGTTTTGTCTCCGTTCATTTTCTCAGCTAAATGGTCTCTAAGTGAAAGTGGACAATTCGGACATGACGGTCCCTATCAGTGCTTATTAGGTATATTCAGGTAAGCTCCGAGGAATTTGAACGGACATTTAGTGCCTTCAATACATGCAACACTAGGAGGAAGGACGCTACTAGGGGGCCCTGGCATCGCTACTAGGAGCAAGGACGCTACTAGGGGCTCCTGGCCTCACTACTAGGAACAAGAAGCTACTAAACAGCCTTTCCTGCCCATTTTGAGACTTCGGACTTGTTGAGTCTCGGACGTGGAACAGGAGTTTGTGGAGGCCTCCAAGCGGCCACTACGGCCCTGTGTCCGGGTAAACCTGCTGAAAGGCACAGTGCAAAGAATCTCGGCACAGTTGTGATGAAATTCTGAATCTTTTGCAATTACTATAATGGACTTCCTGTCAGCTTTTGCAATTTCAAAGCTAAGCCCCTGGTGTTTGGACGTCCTCGCGTCGTGTTGTGGACAGTGTCAACAAAGTCGGCTGTGTACTCAAGTTTCCCAAATCTAGGAACCGAATCATCAGCGCGAACGCTTCTTCAAGGAAACTTTCCCCCGCCGCCTTTAGGGAGCTTCCGTGAAGAAGCGGGAGCTATCCTGCGTTGTACCTAGAAGCTCACTTGGCCCCTGCTATTGAGTAGGCACCTAAAGAAGCTTCTTGTTACTAGTAGCTACTTGCTCCTAGTAGTACGGCCAGGAGCCTCTAGTAGCGTCCTTGCTCCTAGTAGCTTCTAAAATAGGCGCCTACTTAATTAAGGAAGGAGGTAGGGCCACGGGCACAAAACGAAAAAGATAATCTCAGAGCAGATGCCAACACCATCCCGACCTGAGCCTAGAGGTGTTGAGCGCTTGGGATCCCACCATGCGTGGCGCCTGAGTGAAGCAGTGCCTTAGTGACGCAGTGAAGCATTGCATGTGCGAGGCAAGGACACCTGGCCTCCAACCTAAGAGCGGTCAGTGTGGCTCTCACAAGCTGTCGCCAGTCGCCCAAGGTGTCGTGGTTTCCTGACGCCTATTGGATACAGTTCCTTGGACGACATCCAAGACGTGAAAGCCCTTCCAGTGCATCGCTACTAGGGGCTCCTGGCATCGCTACGAACGGAGCATTCATACTAGTCAAAGAGACAGGCGAAGCATTTTTGGACAGACGATCAAGGCGAAGCGTTGATGTTCCAGTCGAGGCAAGTGGAAGCAACTGCCCTCACTGAAGCGCAGGACCGTTCCATGTCGACCCTCTCAACGTGGTTGAGCACAGTGTGTTGCAACTATTCGTATGGCATGCGTACAGAAGGTGTGTAGCAAGCAGGATGACTCAGAATGGACTGAGAAGCCTCAATAGTTCCTTTTGATTGCCATTAAGCACTGCACTAATGTTAAGTTTTCCTAAAGAATTAGGAATCAAATCATTAGCCTATCCTGTGTCCATACTAGTAGCTACACTGAGACACTAGAGACTCCCAAGCTACTTCCTACCTCCACTCGCGGCCTACCCCCCCCGAAGAAAAGAAATAACAATGTCACAAAAACATAAAAAAACTGTAAGTCAAACTGCCAAGGAGCTGCCCTCTGCTTGGGCAAGGATCGCCAGTGCCAAAGTCACCTCGCGGAGTGCGACCGCCTCAAGCTCACGAGCTCGGATCCCCGGAGCGACTTGGACGCATTTTTCGCTACTAGGAGCAAGGGCATCGCTACTAGGAGCAAGGACGCTACTAGGAGCAAGGGCCTTACTAGTAGTAACAAGAAGCCACTAG